AGCCCCCCATGCACGCACAGCCCCCCCAGTGCAGCCCTGGGTGCTCCCAGGGGCACACAGCGCCTGTGGGGGCCCACCCTGCCCAGCACCCCCTGTGCTGCACCAATTTCACCAACATTGCCTATGTCTGAAGAAAAACATCAGCTCCTACGACCTGCGCGCCTGCCTCTTCATGGCGTTCGTCATGGGTTACGTCACGGTGGTCCTGCTCTCCTGCCTCATCAACCTGGTGCTCGTGCTCATCCCGCAGTGGCCCATCATCGTGGCGATGCTCTGCAGGTATCCTCAGCCAGGGAGGCAGATCCCTGCCCTGGCACATGTCTACATGCGCTGCACCGCCCAGGTTGTCCCGTGCAGGAGCCTGCACGTAGCCCTGGGGCCAGCAGCACCCATGGGTGCCTGCTTCCTCGCCCAGCACATCTGTTTGTCCTTGACTCGCTGTTCCAGCATCATGTTGGTCCTCCTCACCACTGCTTACCAGAGCCTGATGGAGTCCTGCATCCCCTGAGCGCTGCACACCCCAAGGTGCCAGGTATGGAGCATCCCACCAGGCCCTGAAGGACATGCAGGACATGAGGTGGTTTGAAGGCTCATGGCCCCCTCGGCATCAGGTGGTGCCAGCAGCAGCGCTGACAAATCTCCCCCATTTGCTTGTTTGTTTTTTTTTTTTTATTTAAACAAAACCGTTTGACCACTGAATTCCTACCACAAAAAAAAAGCCAAGCAGACCCTCTTGGCGTATCTGCATCGCCCACGCTGCTGCTTTGTCAGCGCTCCCCAATACTTAGAAAAGTGCTGGAAATGCAAATATTTGTACGGGTTTTAAAACAGTTTTCCACCCATCTCTAATAACCTGTGGTTATGGCCGGAGGGGCTAACCCCGCAGGCACGGTGGTCTCCCTGCCAACCTTCACCAGAACACACTGGGGATGGAAAATCCTTATTCAAAGCCCTGGTGAGAGATGGCAGGAGCCCAAAAACATGTTCCTCCTTCTCCCACCCAGAGTCTGGAGCTGCAGTGGGCAGCGAGGATGCAGAGGAGTGAGAACCTCACACCCAGCTCAGGCTGTGGCCCAGCAGGACAATAAAGACCTTCACCCCAAACTTTTGGTGATCTGTGGTTGCCACCATCCCAGGACACAGAGGGACGGACCCTGTTCAGTGGGACAGGGCAGCCAGGATGCTCCATCTCCCACGGGACATCCCTCATCTGCCTGGTTCCTGTGACAAGGCAGGACCAGCACCCCCAAAGTGATGGCACCCAATGGCACAGGGAGTACCTGGCACTCACCTCTGGGGGAAACTACACTCCATGGGCAGCTCCTCATAGGGATGATGACAGATGACCCCAGTGCCCCCCACCCCAGGCGTTTAGGGAAGAGGCAGTGTCCCCACCCCACTGGTGTCCCCCGCCGAGACGCTGGAAACAGGAGGGTGTGCACGACTCAAGAGAAACAAATAAAACATGGAACTCCACCAAACTTGTGAAAGCGACAGGAAAGCCTTTCCCAAGGCGCCTTTTCCCTTTCCCGCCTGGCGCCATGGCCTCAGCTGCACCCCTGCGAATGCAGCAGCGTCATGGAGAGGGGTCCTGGGCCCCTTGAGCATTCCACTGTGACGGTCAGCGTGGGGCTGTGGCAATGCCCTCCGTCCTGGCCCCAGGGATGGGGCTGGGTCCCCTTAGCCCCAGGTCTGGAGCTGCCCCACTGATAGGGGTGGCCTGGAGCCCTGCCCAGGGCTGCTGGGCCACAGATAAAGCCCATGTGGTCCTCACCGATTGCCCCAGGAGGCAGTCAGTGGGGTGGGAGCCGCTGTCCCTGGGAGATACGGGGTGTGAGACACCACCCCCCTACGGGCCTCCTTTTCTGTGAAGGGGAAGGGTCCCTGGCTCCCCTGAGTGCACAGCTGGGGTGCCACAAGGTGTGGAGCAACAGCCCCCCTCAAATCCCCTCCTTCCTGACAGAAAGCAGTCCCTCAGCTGCTGGAAAACACCTCCCTGTGCGCTGCAAACCCACAGAGCTGCACCATGGAGGGCCAAGGACCTCACCATGCTTCGGTCTCCTCATCTGTAAAAGGAGGCAAGAGCTCTGCAGCGAGAGGGCTCAGCCTCTCATCGCTCCAATGCCTGGTGAGAGGTGCGTGCCAGGGGGTATTTATAGCTCGAGCTGGCATTTTGAATGGGGACACACTGCCTCAAGGTCACCGGGAGAAATGCTGGCCTCGGAGGAGGCCGGGCAGGGAAAATCCCCTTTTTCCCAGCACCAGGGGGTGAGGATCATTCCCACTGCCCACAGCAGCGATGGTGGGGTGAGACTGGGGGTGTGCAGCACGCTGAGGGTGCCACCCCCATGCGTCACCCAAACACCTCCCGGCTGCGGGTGCAAGGTAGAGCTGGGGATTTTCGCTAACCAGAGCAGTAACATCACTTCTCAGAAAAGCCATCTCCGCATGGCTCATCGTCCCCTCCCTCACTCTCTCAGAGGCAGAAGCAGAGGGAGTTTGGGCAAAATCCCCACCGTGCCCTGCTCTCTGCCAGCCCTGGCAGCCCCGGCTCCAGAAACACTGCCAGGTCCTGAGCACTGCGCTGGTGACACCCCCAGGGGCCATGGTGACACCCCCTGAGACCCTCCCGCCCCCTCCCCAGGCAGGGCTGGGTGCCACCGTGGATGCTGCCACCCTGACCACAGCTGGAATGGGGAGAGGAGTTGGATGTTGGCACAACCAGTGGTGTCACCGTGTCCACCCCAGGGCATCCGGAGAGGTCACCCCCAGGGAACCTGCTCACAGGCCCACGACAGCCCAACTCTGCAATTCATGTCCGCAAAACGCATCTTCCCAAAAATACAGAGAGTGTTTTACCATGTGGTGTTTTTTTCATGGAAAATTCATACATAACTTACATATACACATCTATAAATATGTATATGACTTTATATGACAATACAGTGTATAAATGGCAGTGAACTGGTATGGGTGCACCCTCCAGAGCAGGACAGCTCATCCTTACAGCCTTCCTTATCGCCTGAGCCGTAGCCCAAATCACACTCCCAAACCACTGCTCCCAGGTTCGGGCCCAAGGGTCTCCCCAAACCCAAAGCGGTACCCAGGGCAGGGTGGGGAGCTGCCCTTCACCCCATCACTGTCCCTCTGAGGGTCTGTCTCCCAGCTGGAGAAAAGGAGAACAGAGGGGCTTGTCCCTGGTTTGGGAGGAAGAGGAGACCCCCATGAACGGGAGGAAGCCCGGCAGCAGCTGAATGACACCCATCTGGACCAAGGCCATCAGCGCAGCTTTGATGGCCCCAGCTTTCTCCTCCCTTTGAACAGAGCCTCGCAGATGGGGCACCCGATAACACCCCCATTTTCTGCCCAGCCCTTCTGGCCTCCTGTCTGTTTGCTTTTCCAAGCAGCCCCATGTCCGGAAGCAGCCAAACCATGGGGCTCAGCATGGCAGGGGCTTTGCGGCCTTCAAAGGGGATGA